AAACCATGTAAGTATCCCACAATTGATCAAATAATTAGTTTAATTAGAGCACAAGTGTGACTAGTAAACACATGAGTGAAACTAACCAAAATTTTGTAGGAATTAATTTTCTACTTATTCTTAATTAATTGTAAATTATTTTCTATAATTTACTTAGTGAAAAACATTAATTGTGTTAAAATATGTGAAATAATTATTTTTCAGATTGTTTATGAGAGGGAAAATATTACCCAATGTTATTTTTAAAATTAAGCATCATATTGAAAGATTATTCAAGCCATCATTTTATAAATAATTCTAATGTCTTACATCCCTAAAAATGAGATAAAAATATGATCGTGGTGTGAAGATATAATCTTTTTATCATTTTAATTAATTTGTAGATAAACTACTTATTTAAGAGTAATTTTAAAAATTAGGTTATTGAGATATGCAATAAATGAGTGATTTCGATGCATGTAATATGAGTGTGTTAAAGATATTGAGCTCTTATTTGTCTTCTTATTTGCATATCCAACTCATACTATAAGCACTTCTCCATATTGGTTAATTTATACAATCTTGATTGCACAAGCTTTACTGAGCTTCCTAGATTTGAAATATTTTTTGAAACACTTAGGAGAAACTCATTATTATCATCCAACATTTATTTTTTATCCTTAAAATACATTTAGAGTGTGATTGGACTTATAGAGTCAATAAACTCCACAATAAATATGAGTATTTTTGCACTGCATCTTTTGTCTACGGTTTGTATTTATCCTCACATTTTTGACTTATTGTCCTGACATTATCCTTCCACGGTTTCTCCTTTCTCCCTCTCACTTCTTCGATTCCTCTTGTCCATTCGGTTGACTTCTATTTTCCTTATTGTTCTCCTTCTCATTTTCGTTAATATTTTGAAGACAAGTCTGAGCCCTTCCCTCTCCTCCTCTTATGGTATGTGATTCCAAAGATAGGGATTTTAATGGTTGATTTAGTTTATGCTAAGAATTTGGCCTTTGAGTTTGTAGTTCTTTAGTTTTGCGATGACAATTGGTGTTCAGATTTGTTGTGCTTTAGTTTTAGAATGAGAAATTTGTATAATTTTGATTTCACTTTATTTGGTTTTGTTGTTGTTTATAATCTTTCTTGATTTGTTGTTCGGGGTTGTTGTTCTTTTGGTTGAATGTCAAACTTTTGTTATTTTGGTTTATGTTGACTGTCTGTTGAAGTTATGGTGAGGGTTGTTTGGGTTGTGCATTTCAGTTATGCATTAAGTTTGTTGTTAATTATTTGGGTTTGTTGTTCTTTCAGTTTGCTGAGTGCTTTGTATTGTTTAGGATTGTGATGATGGCCTATTGTACACATGTTTTCTTCTGATTGTCGATTAGAATGACTTGTCAATTGGTAGTTGCTTGTATATGAGAATAAAATTAGCAAATAAAACATGGATTGATCAACATCAGATTAGGATGGCTTGTCAATTGGTTGATTGATTGAATTTGTTCGCTTGATGAATTATTAGATATTCCGAAAATGTTATTTGATGCGTTGGGTTTTTTCCCTCGTATGCGAAGACTAGTTGTTTTGACAAAAATTTAATGAATTTGACTGGTTTGATAATACTTCCTCTACAATACATATGAGGCTATCAAAAAATTAAAAAAAAAAAACAAAAATAAGACCAAATTGTAGTGGCTTTGTTGTATGATACATGTAAAGTGAATGGCTTCTTTTGTTTGTATGATATGAGAGATTATGGAAGTTGAACTAATGTGCATACTTTTTTCGTGCTAGTGTTTGGTATAAAAGATAATGAGATATGTTGTAATCTCCCTCAAATGCTTATGAACTCTTCATAATTAGATTTGAAATTGGAGTTGGAATTAATTTTTTACTATTTGAGGGGGTGGTTAGGATGAGTCATGTGACTTTTGAGATCTTTTGGATGGCCTATTGTGTTGCTATGATTTTTGATATATGCAAGTTTATTGTTAAATATTTCAAGGCAACCAAGATCCCCTTTTTCGTAGGTCAGCTGCTTTGTTCCGATGGTTTGATAAAAGATTCATCATATATTTGTTTTGACATTAAGCCTTAATTATATTTCCTACATTTAAAGTTTCATTATTTTCATTTTTACGAATGGTAGATCAGCTTAACTTATAAAGATTTTCAACTTCAAATTTTCCTATTTATATTTCACATTTGTTCACTAGTGTTGTGATGAGAAAACCAAGAGAAGACTATTTATCCGCTACACAGAATAAAGAAGTTGTGATGGTTTTTTGTATTTTTTGTTTGAATAAGGATGAACTAACTGATCGTCTTACAACTTAGTTCAGTAAGAAAGGCTGACAAAATATCATTCAAAAGTTTCATGAACAAAATTGGAAAATTATATGATATGAGTGAGTTAAAGAATAAATGAGTTCAACTTAAAAATGATCAAAACATGGACCAAATTGATTGAGTTGAACCACCTTAAAAAGACTCTAGATGCATCTGATGAATAGTGGAAGGAAAAATTAGAGGTGAATTTACTTTTTTAAATTCCCATGTCCTATTACTCATTTAGAATGTGCTTGGCAATATGATTAGTACTTTAACTTTGTGAAATGTAGGTTGTGCTTAATGCCAAAAATTCAAACTTTGTAGCATTAATCCCAAACTTGAGGAAAATCTTGACATTATGTTTGATAGAATCGTTGCCGCCTGTGACATTGCATGGGCTTCGTGTTAAGAAGCACAATTAACATAGATACCCGAGAAATATCTTAGTAGAGTGATAATTCAAATGATGTTTATTCTGAGAGATGTTCATACCATACTAGAATAGCGAACACTACATCCAGTCATACAAAATGCAAGCGTTCTGTTGAACCTATCACGAGAAGAAGAAAATCAACGAGTTTTTCTAAATTTTATGACATTAATTACTATTATTGTAATTTTTAGTACGTCTTATTTTGTGTTAAATGATGTATTACATTTGATCCGGTAGAATAAGATATTTCTGACTTTTTTTTTGAACTACTTAAATTTATTTTTGTTATTATGTTTGAATTAAAACTTAAACTGCTGACTTACAATAGGGCATAACCATCATATTTTATCAGAAACATGTACAACACTGCAGACATCCAAACATATAACTAATTCACAATCATTAGCTTTCTAAAATAACTTATACTAAAAATATGCCCTAGAAAAACCCTAAAATTTAGATGTTAGATATGTAAATGAGTGTGGTATGTACCATAAAAAAACAACCTTATATTTCCATCAAATCACACCCACTAGTTTGTGCCACAACTTTAAAAACAACAACTAGCTTTTTGAGAGTAAGTTTGGCTGCAACTTTGATTTAAGTTTAATAGGATTTAGTAAATCCGATAAATAAGGATTTATCAAATCCAAATGTATTAAATTCATAAATATGTTCGGTCCGATTATCATTAAATCCGGTCATTTCCTTCTAATGTGTTTGGCGAATTTGAGAAGCAAATATACGAGGCACCTCTTTAAATTTCTTAAATCCATCTCTTTATTGGATTTACTCAATCCGAGATTAACATTAAGGCGTCTAAAAGATTAAAATTAAAGGTCTTGAATTTACATCCCATATATATTTCATGTTTGGCTCAATTTAAGTTAAATAAACATAAATGAAGCCTTAAATCCTTCTACCAAACACCCCTTGAAGCCCATTGAATTCTTATGGATATGCATCTAACATATACATTTTTATTTATACTTGTATACCACACTAATCTTTACATCACATAAAACTTATATTAATCTTGTGAAATTATGGTATGACCCCAAGACTATTTAGAGCCCTGTTAGCTCCAGAAAATGGGGAATTGAGATTAAGAACCATAAAAAATAGAACAATATCATTTGATTTGATGCTCTAATAATTTTCAAAAGTAGTATTTACAGTAGAGAAAACACCCTTAAGAACACATCAAACACTAAGGAGTTGTTTGGCTAAATCTAGGACTTATTTTAAATAGGATATAGTTTAAAATATGATTTAATAAGTCTTGTAAATCCGGATTTATCAAATCCTGAAGCGGCTAAATCCCAAAAATTATTTGGGATGCTAGTGAATAAATCATGATGAATCCTTATAAATTATTTGACAATTTTAGAAGGATTTACCGAGATTTATAGAGTAAACATCAAAAATAAAATATTAAATAAAAAAAATACAAATGAGTATCTCAAAGTAAAAAAGAACATTTACTTTAATGAATAATAATTATATTATTTAATAATTATTATATATATAAATTGAGAATTACTTAAAATTTTACTAAATAATTTAAAATAAAAAATAATAATTTATTACATAACTATTAAATAATTACATTTAAATCTATCTAGTTATAATCAATTTAATATTATATAAATTGATTATCAATTATTAATAAATTAAATTAATTATTTATTTATTTACCACTTCCCCCCTCTTTTTCATGAAAAAATATTACATCAATGCTACACACGTAGAGTAACGTGCGTACCAATGAAATCACGCCACGATATCCCGCGCGACGCAGAAAAAAAAAATGGCGCAGTAACACGGGGGATATTCCCTCCTGTGTTATTCATGTGTTATTGTATGTTATATAATAACGTGTTATAATAACATAATAACACATGAATAACACATGAATAACACACAATAATACCAGAATAACACGGGAGAAAATATTCCTCCGTGTTACTGCGCCGTTTTTTTCTCTGTCGGGAATATTTCCCGTATTATTCAAGTGTTATTGTGTGTTATTCATATGTTATTGTATCCTGAGAATATTTTTGGTGTTATAATAACACAATAACACATCAATAACATATGAATAACACGAAATAACACATGAATAACACATGAGAGAATATTTTCCGTATTATTGCGCCATTTCTTTTTGCTCTGCTCGTAACGTGTTTTGATTAGGTACGCACTTAGGAGTAGTAGTACTGATGTAATATTTCTTCCTTTACCCGAAAAGCACGCCTTTAGATTTTCCGGTTTCGCCAAAACTTCCCATCTCCGCACAAACCCTCGCTTATCCCCTCCTCCTCCCCCTCCCACGATCCTTCACGAGACAGTTGCCATTAGAGCTACCTGGAAGGCAACGAGTGGATCGCAGCTTACATAGACAGCCGAAACTCCCATCTTTCCCACCTTCCGCACCGCTCGTTCCAGAGACCGTTGAGGAAGGTAAACCTGTTCGCGCCATTCTTCCTCTTCGCTTGTCCCGGATTTACTAAATCCGCCCATTCAGGGGATTTACTAAATCTCGGATATAAGTCGAACCGGCATCATTTTAGGATTTACCAAATCTCAGGATTTATGGAGATGCATTTTGCTGTTTGGCAGGATTTAGCCTAAATTCTGCTTAAACCAGCTACCAAAGAGCCCCCAACTTTTTATCTATAATCTACTAAGACTCATTATAACTTACTTATCAATTGCACCTGTACATTATCCACGTTTTGGAATGAATGAAATTCATTTATTCACTTGAAAGGGAGTTGCAACTCCTGCTTTATTTTTCTAAGTAGGACCCGCACTCATCAAGATCTCATTGAACAATTTTGTTAAATTTTGAGAATTTTTCTACTAAGTCAATGTCTTAATTACAGGTGTTGACTTGATTGTTTTTTTGAAGCTTAACAATCTTTCGGGCTGACAATATATTTCTCATTTGTGAAATATCAACTCTTCTATAGATGATGAATTGTGCAGCATGAAGACTTGATAGCATTAAATGCTTTAACGAGTTTTCCTGATTCACGGACATTTTGGGTTAAGTTGATTGGTTATGGGACATCAACCCTGTTTTGATTTTAAACCATCACTTTGTGATGTTTATATTCTTAAGTTATATCTTACTGAGTCCATTAGTTATTATATTCACATTTTCATTTTTTTAGTTGTTTAGTATGATGATAAGGTGGGGAGTAAGGTGAGGATGGCGATCTTGGGAGACTCACCCACCCATTTAAAGGTATGGCATCAAATTAAGAAGCTTTTTGTGGTCTAAGTCGACAAAATAACATAATGAAAATTTTCCTACACAAATCGCCTATTTAAGAGCAATTTACTTACATTTTTAAATTTATGTTATGAATGTGAAATTAATGGTGTTCTTTACCTTTCTTTCTTTCTCATTTTTTGTCATATTACTGGTCTTTTTGGTTATAAATTTTATCTGGATTATTTGCACCTTTTTGTTTCATGTTTTTTTTGTCATATTACCGGTCCTTCTGGTTATAAGTTTTACTTAGATTATCTGCACTCTCTAGAAAAGAAAATTTTAAGGATGTCATCACAAATTAATGATGTCAAGTGCAATCTTGGCATGATTTTCAGCCTATTGCTTATCTCACAACCATTTTGTAGGGATGAGATGTGCAGAAAGGTGGAGAAAATCGTATTATCATATTTCTCAATAATCAAATTGCAACTCTTCTTCTTATATAATTATGAACGACGAGGACAAACTTAACAACAACAACTACTTACTACAGATAAAATAACAAAAAGAGAATAACACTAAAATAAGATAATCAAAATTCCACACTCCCCCTCAAGCTAGGACATAGATGTTGTGAAGACACAATGAGTATTCAAATCAATGAAGCTGATTGGAGGTAGAGATTTAGTTAAACCATCAACTACTTAAAGATGTGTTAGAATTTAGATTAAGTAAACAATGTCTCCATTGACCTTTTAGAGATGAAATGTATATCAATCTCAATGTTCTTGGTTCTGTCATAAAACAAATGATTCGTTGCAATACTGATGACGACTTGCCTATCACATAACATTTTTATGGGATTGACTCACTCACAAATTCTTATAGCAAGTGTCTGATACTCAGATTCTACATTACTTTTAGTGACCATTGCTTGTTTCTTGCTTCTCCATGTGATAAGATTTCCCATAAGAACAATACCCATAAGTGGACATTCTGTCAATGAGTTTTCCCGTCCAACTAGCATCAATGTAAACTTTTACTTTTCAATTGTCTTATTTTTTAAATAGTAAATCTCTGCCATGCGTTTTCTCAATAAATCTTAATATTCTGTAAATCATCTCCTAATATTCTTCATTCATACTATTCATATTTCGACTCACATTATTGATAAAATAAGTATATCGGGTATTGTTTGTGACAGGTAGATAATTTTACCCACCAATCTTTAGTATTTATTTTATTCCATTGTTGTATTTTCTCCTCCTGAATGTAACTTTTTGTTGTTTATAGGAGTCTCAACAGGTTTGCATCCCAACATTCCTATCTCCTTTAGTAGGTCTAGGATATATTTTTTTTGGAATATCACATTACCTATCTTGGATCTGACCACTTCCATGCTAGAAAAGTTCTCATCGCTCCTAGATCCTTAATTTCAAATTCAATGGTAAGAATCTCCTTGATCTTTTTAATCTCCTTTTCATCATCACCTATCAGGATCATATCATCTGCGTAGAGAATGAATATAACTTTCTTATATCCCTACGTATGCTTTATGAACATCGTATGATTCGCTTGACATTTGATATGTTTATTAGATTTTATAGTCTTGGCAAACTTGTCAAACCAAACCCTTGAAGATCATTTGAGTCCATAAAATGACTTCTTAGTTTACAAACCATATATTTATTTGAGTTATTTTCCAGTATTGTTGGGATTTTCATATACACTTCTTTCTCAAAGTCTCCATTAAAAAACACATTCTTGATATCAAGTTGATGTAGTTCCCATTCTTTATTCACTGCTATGAAAATAACTTTTATAGCATTTAAATTGACCACTAGAGCAAATGTCTCTTGATAGTTTATCCTATAAAACTCAGTGAAAACTTTTGCCAGCAACCTAACATTGAATCTCTCAATGCTCCCACCTACTTTATACTCAACATTGAAGACTCATTTGTATCTAACATATCTTTTATCTAGAGGATGCTTTGTAATGATCTATGTGCCATTTACATCAATTGTTTGGATCTCCTCTTCAACTATCTTTTTCCATTATGGTCTTTGAAGTGTTTCATGAATAGTTTTGAGTATCTGCACATTATCATGATTAGATACAAAAAAATTATGAGTTGATGATAACTTTTCATAGGCAACATAATTCTGGATAGGATAATTTGTGCAACATTTCTTATCATCTTCATTGGATTTCACCTCCCTTGGAATTTCAGAGATGTGTGAATTCAAGTTTAATTGTGAACAGTTTTGTTGTTACATTTTATCTTTATTCTGCTTAGCGGTTTTCTTTCTCCTAGCATACACATGAAGTTTCTTGTTGTCAATATTAGGTTGGATGTTCTCAAATGTTGAAACTCGGGAGAAATGATTGTTAGAAGAAAGGAGAATATGTTGTGATGACTCTAGTTTAGTTTGAGTATCTCAAGTAATGTAGGGAAGTAGAATAAGTTGTGATGACTCTCGGTCAATTTGACTATCCAAATTAGTATCCGAAGTTTAATATTCATTCGAACCTTTCCCTTGAATATCGGATTTGGGGTAATAGGGTTGGCTTTCAAAGAAAATGACATCCATAAAGTTATAATATTTTTTCTAATGGGAGAATATTATTGATACCCCATTTTGCTGGAAACATACCTAAGGAAGATACATTTGATGGATTTTGGGTTAAGCTTTGTGTGGTTTGGTTGGTGAATGTGAACAAAAGAGACAACCAAATATTTTTAGAGGAAGAATGGATGAGAAGGCTCAGGCATGAGGGACATGTTTTGCATTCTATTAATGAAGCAGGTGGTTTTGAGCATGACATCTCCTTAAAAAGTTTTTGGGACATTGTGAGAAAGTATTATAGACTTAGATACCTCGAGAAGATTTCTATTCTTTTCTCAACTATTCTATTTTGTTGTGGAGTTTCAGAACAAGAACTCACATGGATTATACTGTTTTTTGTAAGGTAGGGTCCAATGATAGAATTGATATATTTTTTACACTATTAGTTTTAAGGATCAGAAATTGCATTGAAATTGAATGAAAATCATGTTATGGAAGGATTGAAAGGTTTGTGTTGTTTCAAATTTTTTCTTTATGAGGAATATCCAACTCGTTTTAGTGTGATCATCAATAAAAAGAGAAACCATTTGACTCTATTGATGTTTTTTAGTATTGATGATCCCTAAATGTCATTGTGGATGATAGAGGAATGATACGAGGGTTTGTATCGGGTACCGGGGCAAATGACAGATATGATAAATATGTTTAATCAATTGACAAGATCCGCACTGGTAAAAGTCTGATTTTTTAATAATAAAGATAATTGTATGATTTTGGAACATAATGAAAATTGGGATGACCCAAGCGACGATGCCATAATAGAACTTGACTTTCAAAATAATCAAACGTAATAGATTCAGGAATATGGGAAGAGGATAGTGAAGAAAACACTTTTGTGCTAAGATAATAGTTTTCCTTGAGCAGATATAGACTTTAATGTAATTCAATATTGGCAACCACCTTTCTTGAATCCACCACCTGAAATTCTTAAGTGTTAAAATGAAATTTAGTAATAGAGTTCAAATCATGAGTAATCTTGCTAATTGACAGAAAATTGCAATCTAATTGGGGTATAATACAGAAGAGAGTTGAATGTACCTGAAGATTTTTACTCATTTCCCAATAATTATGGAGTGAGATCCATCGACAAGTTTGACAACTTTAGAGTCGGTAAACCTTTGTTAGTTGGTAATAGCATGAATATCTTCATTCATGTGATCAGAAACACTTGAATCTATTATCAAAAGTCGAAATCTTTCGTTGTAAGCGAGATTGGAGGAGGTCATGATATCTTGGTTCATGATCATGTTAGTAGACCACTCAGTTCTGCTTGAAAGAGGTTTCTGCAACACCTCTAGCATGTTCCTTGATGATACCTTGGTGTCTCACAAGTTGGCATACCACTCAGTTGTGCTCAATAAAAGTTTCTTCAAAACCTCTAGTTGTTCCTTGTTGAAAGGGCTCGGGTCAGCCAACGCTTTAGAAGACGTAGCAGTGTGGGCCTGATTGGTCTTTCCTCGCTCAGGTTTCATTCCTGCAGGTTTTCCATGTAGTCTCTAACACTTGTTTTTTGTTTGACCAAGTTTATTGCAATGTTCACACAAAGGATGATTAACCTCCGGAGTGGAACTCAACGTCTTTATGCCGCACTTGTTCATAAACCTTATATGTATTTTGGGTTGCAACTTGTTACAGTTAGGAAGTTGGTCCCAACTGTTGAAGGAAGAAAGGACCGACGAGTGGCTTCTGCAGTGACTAGTATTTCTAGAAGAAAGGTCTGACAACAAAAAGTGAACACCGGAGGGCCTGCTGGTAGAATTTGGCGGAGAGGGGCCTATAGCAGGAA